GCTGCACCAGCAAGGGCTCGCGCCCCAGCGACAGCGGCTTCTTGCCCTACTGGCCACATCCTGCTTTTAGCACTCGGCAGCGAGACCAACAGCACCCGTGATCACTGCAAGCCCAGCAGCGGGGCTGGGGCCGATCCCCCGCCGGCTCCCGACCCCGGAGCGCCTACCCCAGCTATGCTGTGCGCCGATTGCTGCAGCCGTGCTGGATGCCCCTCCGTGGAAATGCAGGGATGTGCCGGGCTATTCACCCGCTAGGATGTTTATGTTGTAATCAGATTTCTGCTCCTTGCTCCAGCACAATAAACAAACCCCATTTGGACAAGCGGAAAAATCGAGATTCACAGTGTGCTCCCTGCCTCCTCGGGGCCCAATGCTGTTCGGCAGTGGGGCCGCCTGCTTTCTGGGGGCCATGGCCCCAGCAGCCTCCCCCTCCCCCTGGTTTGTAAGTAGCTGGCACCTCTGTCACCCCAAATCTGCAAAGAGCTGCAGCGGGGCAAGGGGTCCAGGGCTGCGGATGAGGCAGCCGGACTGCGGCAAAGCCCAGTGCACCCTCCTAATCCTTTCGAAAGCAAGGCGGTGGTGAGAAACATTTCCAGTGTGATACTGTCCCAGTTGGATTCATTTCTCCCATTTGTTTTCTCTTGCTGGATTCATTGCACATTTTGAACTACAAGTCTGGACTCTGAAGTATTTAAGGAAACAACAAAACAACAGCCTGGACTTCCTTGCCGCAGGAAAACTCCACCCTGGGCCCAGCCAAGGCTTTTGCCTCCCAGAATTCACATCTCTCCTCATAAATCAGTGGCTTCCACCTCCTCAAAACAAGGAAAAGGAGATGTCTCTGGTTATGGTTTCTCTCAGTCCCTCTCTGCCCGCGTGGAGCTGGCTGCGCTCCGCTCTGTCCGTCAGGGCACGGAAAGGTTGTCCCGTCCTTCTGCATCCGGCTGTCCAGCAGCGCAGGCAGCAGAGGTAGTGGTTTTCCAGGGAAGCGTTTTATGCTCATAGAAAAATTTTCAGTCGAAAAAAAATGTTGCTTTTCCACAAGACATGCTGATGAGAATCCAAACAGAAAGTGGTAATATTTCTCCAAAAGCTTTCTT